ACACACACACACACACACACACACACACACACACACACACACACAGGCAGAGCCTTGCAAACATGTACATGGACACACAGGTTATCAGCTTTAAAAAGAGGATGGGGTAACGTGTGTGTACGTACACACTGACCCCTTAACACACACTGCAGGGCTTGAACCTCTTTGCAGAGGAATGCTAATGTTTTCCAAAGAAACCCTAACACAGCAGAGAGAGATAGAGTCAGAGAGATTACCCAAGAGAGAGAGAGAGAGAGAGAGGGCGACAAACGGGTAGCGGTAGAGAACGAGAGAGTGTACAAATATATGATCTAACTGGAGTGCATCAGCCCATCCTGTTGCAGACACACACTCTGTGGCTAGAGGTCTGTTTTTACCAGGAAACGGTGTCTGTTCACATTATGGCAGTGCCCGTTGAAGAGTAAACTTCACCTTGTTTTGACTGATTTAGGGGAAATTATGTTTTATGAATCATGGGTTCCAGTCCCTTGTCTCCATAGATAAGGGCTGCTTAGTGAGGCCCACTGACCCTCTTCCACAAAGAAATGTATCCAAAGGCTGCACAAATAATGTTGTTAATGTTGGACCACAAACGTAGCAATGAGCTCTGAATATTATTATGTATTATGAAATTTATTGGAAAAATTTGGTCAGGGACCAACAAAATAACTTTCCATCTACAGGCCCAATTCCTACCATGTTTTTTATATTTGCACAACAAAAAAAAAAAAAAAGATCTGCTTCATATTTCATCCAATCTTAAACGACTTTGGTGTAAAAAAATATTTGGGGACCAATTGTTTAATAGCTTTTAAATCGTCCAAAATGTTTTCCAATAACTTAATGATTGGCTGAACATTAGCAAGTTAAAGAACAAAGTTCAAGGGACAGAGCAGCGCTGCTTGGTGGGTAAGAAAACAGAAACCGAGGTGAAAAGGTGGACCGTTTCTGGAAAAAATGAAAAACCTTTATGAAAGACTCTTACTTAAACAAAACCAGCAGGAAGACATAAGGGAAGGAGAGGATGAGGGACACAGGATAAGTCTTGAGGGCAAAGTTTGACCTAATATTCCTCAGCAATAGCACCAAGTAGCCTGAGTAAAGATACAATCAGGAGGTTTAAAAAGGCTCCAGACTCCTCAACGGCAGCCCTGAGCAGTGCTATAGAAACACCATTATGAATAAGAGCAAAGGGATGAAGTATAATAGGCATATGTTGGCTATTATAATCCCTGTCTCTCTTCCTGTCTCTATTCAAACCATTAGGCTCTTACGAGCTTACACTGTATGCAGTCTGCTTTATAAGTTGGCCGCCCGACCGCACCAAGCCCAAATGCGCCGGAGCCATGTGACCGAATGTGTGTGAACGAGTGTGTGCGTGCTCTGTCGTAGTTCGTTACAGCTGTAGTCCAGGCAGCTCAGCTTAAAATGCAGGCTAACGAGCTGTAGTGGGAATAGAGCTTGAGGACGTGAACCTAAAACTGCTCCTGGAGGACTGAATAATACTGCTGTCCTTTAGCACTAGCGTGTGAGCGTGGGCAGTAGACCATAACGTGGTCATTTCATTTGGTAGCTCATTCAATCAGCCAAAGTGACTGTAGGAACATATTCATATTTTTAAGTTTGGCCTCTGGGAGCAGTTAGTTAGGAGGGGACAGACGATTAAACCACCATCCTGTGCCTTGCTCACGAGCACTTGTAGTAATTGGCAAGGAAGGGAAGTCTAGATCTCCCCACCCGGCATTTTATTAAAGTCTGGGAGCTTAAATCTATTAGCTGAATTCTCCAACAGTCACTTTAGCACTTATTAATTCCAGTTACGCTACAGCTGGAGGTGGGCTTGTAAGTGTGCTAACTACAGTGGACGCCTTCATAGAGAACA